CTGCCCCCACACCCACACACACACTGCCCCATACCCACACACTGCCCCTATACCCACACAGCCACACACACTGCCTCCCATGCACACATACTGCCCACACACACAAACACACTGCCTTCCACACACACACTGCACCCATACCCCCACATACACTGCACCCATACCCACACACATGTGGCCCCATACCCACACACCCACTGCCCCCATACCCACACACTGCTCCTATACCCACATACCCACACACACTGCCCCCATACAAACACACACACACACAGCCCCCACACACACTGCCCCCATACTCACACACACACTGCCACCATACTCACACACATGCTGCCCCCATACCCACACACACACTACCCCGATACCCACACACACTGCCCCCCCATACACACACACTGCAATACACACACACAGCATTGTTTTTTATTCCTGGCTGACACCGGTCCGCAAAATATTTCTCCTCTTTTCGCCGGGCTGCAGGTGCTAAAAGGTTGCAGAACACTGGTCTAGACTCATTCTTCATTACTAGGTCAGTGGAATAATGTCTACTCTTTGTACTTTTACAAAAAGTTGGCCTTATTTTCCACTTCCACAGTGATGGATGTAGTTTGTTTGGGGAGTTTTATACCAGCATGGCATTAAGATATTAATGAATGCCAATCTAAACATGTTAAAAAAAAAAAAACATGGATTGCAACATGATAATACCTTATAAAATCTATAAAATCTGACATTATCCTATGCTTTAATTTATGTTTGTGATCACCTATTACTTACAATATATCTATATATAAATATATATCTGCATATACAATATATATACATAAACCAGTTTGCACGTACATTTTTAAATGTATATTTTTGTTTGTTCCTTAGTGCAAGTCTGTCCAGTTCCAAATTCCATTTCTAATGGAACCTTTGATCTGAAGAAGGCACAATACATATACCAGGACTCTGTGAAATATACATGTAATGTAGGCTTTATACTTGTGGGGGTAGATACAATATCCTGTACAACAACGGGAACCTGGAGCTCAGCTGAACCTCAGTGTAAAGGTAAGGACTGCGTGCTAATAGGGTAACTTTCACACAGGGTATAAAATATTAGTATAACAGCAAAATTGCCATTAATATCACATATTGTGGGTATGACAAAAATGTAAATTAATAAAAATGATCAATTACAATGCATTACTATCAGCTTACTAGCTCACTACAAAAGGCAATAGAAAGTAAAAATAATGTCTGCAGTTAGGCATAATGCCTACAAAAAGTAAATATGGTACATTTAAAACATGCTTCTGAAATAAAGATATGTAAAACGACTATAGCAATCTTTATCAATCTCTTTAATTTAGATCTAATGCTAACAGTGAAGTGATAGAGTCTGGTAACCCCTCCACCTTCCCAGACTGTAGGAATGAAGCCCACGGAGCAACGCAGGAGGGGAGTGGGCCTTGACAGGACCAGAGAGTTGGCAGGGGTATTTAAGGCCAAGGGGTTGGTTTAAGTTAATGAATGGGGAGGAGGGAAAAGGAAGTTAAATAGAAGCCATCTTAGTTAGTGGCCATTTTAATTTGAGCCTCACTTACCTGTGAGTTGTCCTTCCCACCCACTCTAGGAGTAGGAAGTAGTTCCCGTTTGGTCACAATGGCGGGAAAAGGGCTTGGTTAAACAGGAATTTTGGTGGGTTAGGAAATTGGTAGGCCAAGGTCTAGGCTGGAATAGTCCAGAGTTAAAGTGTTTGCTAGGTTCGAGCCCGTCGGTGGCTATGAACCAAGGAGTATAGGGGTGTCTGGGTACACCCCTGCAGTTAGACAAATGGATGTGGGGCCTCTTTGGTGGGCCGTGTGTTATACGTTATGTATTATTTGTAATGTTTAGTATTGTTCTCTGGTAGGGTCATTGTCAGGGGTATTGTGCGGGATAGAGCGGAACGAAGTTATTACTGTTGACAATGACCCTAAATTGTTAATTTAAATATTTATAATAATTTAATAAAGCTGTGGACTTTATACTCCAACAGAATAAATTGGTGTCCGAGTGTTATTCAAGTAAAAGGTTAAGCACATGCCGAATAACGACTGTGCACATGTCATGATATGCTCCACAATTTTTAGCAAATTTGCAGGCATTATATAAGTGGATATTACCTCCAACCAGAGTAATGCACTCCTCTACTGGCTAATAATCATTTATAGAGTATAAATGTGTTTGAGTAAGGCTTCATTGACTACATTCAATTCTTGAGAAACCCAAATTACTAAACGCTCTTCATAAAGAAATAGAAAGAATGAGAGACGTAAAGATCCTGGCAAATGGTTTTCCAGTTGACTCTAATTTCTTCTTTCATTCAATTCAAAATTCATAAGAGGAAGAAAATTGAGCCACCATACATCAAATATAATGTCTGGACTCCTTCATTACTAGGTCATTTAGAATAATGTCTACACTTTGTATTTTTACCATATGTAGGCTACATTTTCCAGTTCTACATTTACGATTTGTGATTACCTATTGTACATATATCGTATGAAACATTTGTGATTACCTATTGTATATATAGTTTTTATTTGTTTGTTCCTTAGTGCAAGTCTGTCCAGTTCCAAATTCCATTTCTAATGGAACCTTTGATCTGAAGAAGACACAATACATATACCAGGACTCTGTACAGTATACATGTAATGCAGGCTTTATACTTGTGGGAGTAGATACAATATCCTGCACAGCAACGGGAACCTGGAGCTCAGCTGAACCTCAGTGTAAAGGTAAGTTCTGCTTGATACTTCAGGAGGTAAATTAAGTTGTTGTTTTTTTTGCTAAAGCATGCACTAGCATTGATATTTATTTTCCATTAGTACTCATGAATGAAAGTGGATCTCCAAGATTCTGGAAAATTGTCCTCCATTTGCCAGAATCTTTTAGATTGTGGCAAATTAAATTGAACCATATCTCTTTTTCCATTCTGTTGAAAGTGAGGTGAAGATTACTATATGATGCTGATAAAAAGGTTTTTAGGTGAATATGATAGTGGAGTCATTTGACAATTTATATTTTTCAGAGGATCAGGCTTTTTTTCTGAGCTGCAGGTACATTTGCCCCCAATTGTGACCCTTAGATAATTATTGTAAACAATAGAATTTCAACAAAATAAATAAATAAAAATTATACTAATTATAAAAAAAAAAAGGCCAAACGAGCCTAAAACACCACAGTGTAGTTTGGAATAACATCTCCTTCTTGCACATTGACTAATTGGTGGGCATGGTTCAATTTTTATAAAAATTAAAAAAAAAAGATTACATCATGACAATTCTCTATATAATCATTGCAAGTTTTCCTGTAATTTGAATGGGATTTTTTGATCTAATTAATTGCAAAAGTACTCACTTAAGGTTTGATGGGTGAACAAATGTAATGTCAACACTACTGCTTAGTAACTAATATTCTCCTATACACTTTATAGCAATCTGTAGATCCACTATTAAAGAAAAAGTGATTTAAATACATTTAAAAAATCACAGTCCAAAATTGACTGAAGGATTTCACATTTAAAGCAGAGTGAACGGGTAACTCAAAGCACTTCATCTCTTCTTCCATTTCCTTCATAATGATTTTAAGTAAAATATATAATACTGACAAAAAATAGAAGGTGAAGATGATGGCGGAGTCATATGATAATTTGCTCAAAGAATTGAGTCTTCATCTGACCAGATTGGCCATAGAATTTGTCTCCAATTATGACCTCTGGTTAACACTATAGAGGAGATATTGTTAACATATAATATATATCAACAGAAAAATAGCACCAGGACTCATTCATCTTTTTGATCATTTTTATCATTTTTATATTTGGGAATAATGGCTCCTCTTTGTAGTACTTTATAATGCTTTTACATTTGCATTAGTCTAGCCAGTGTCACTCTGGTTTGTGGCACTGGCCTGTCAACAGTGTATTGGTTATGCAAGTCTTAAAAAAAAACAAACAGAAGAAAAGTAAGAATTACAACATCAACATTCTCTTTAAAATTAATGAACATTGAAACTATTCTGTACTTTGAATTATGTGTTTCATCATCATTACGGGCAAAATCTTTTAAATAATAGATAAACGCTTTTGCATTGATTGTTTTTCTATAGTCTTTGTTTGCTCCTTAGTGCAAGTTTGTCCATTTCCAAATTTAGTTTCTAATGAAAGCTTTGATTCCAAGAAGACACGTGTACCAGGACTATGTAAAACATACAGATGATCTCTGCTTTATACTTGTGGGAATAGATACAATATCCTGCAGAGCAATGGGAACCTAGAGTTATTATTATTATTATTAATGGTATTTGTATAGCGCTAACTTGTGCGAAAATTTTACAATAAATTAGACAATTACAAAATGATACAGGAACAACAGGTAGATGAGGACCCTGCTCAATCGAGCTTACAGTTCAGTTGAACCTCAATACAAAGTTATGACTGATTGATACTTGCTACTGAGAATGTATATTTATCTTTTTGAGAAAACATGCAGTAATATGTTGAGAATATTAACCATATCATTTTGATTTTAAGTTCTCATTTTAACACTGGAGCTTGCTTCACAATTAACAGGAAACACGGGCACAAATGTATTGTCAAATCTACCACTTGGTAACAGTTTTTTCTCCGGATGTTGGTTCCTCTGTTCACTAAATACTATATAGTAGAGTCATCACCAAAAAGACAAATAAAAACTAATTATCTATTGATAAACCTATGTATCAGTTTCTTAGACAAATACTTCACATGTGCAATATCCCTAACTAAATTTTAGTTACTGAGAAACTGGAGGGTCCACATATAAATTAGAATAAATGGGGAACTTAAAGGTCACCCAAATGATCCTCCAAATTAGTCCCCATCCTTTCTTCCATGCAAAGTACAGTGGGATCAAGAGTAATATAGAACCTTAAAAAGAGGGTTGTAAGTGAGAAGGTTGTTCGGGTTTTTTTAGTATTAATTAGTTGAAAGGATTGAGTTTTTCTGGTTAAACCTGACAGTAGAATTTGGCCCCAAGTTGCGACCAGTGTTTGACATTGTAGAAGGTATATTTTAAACCATCAAAATCTCTAAAACCCTCTAAATATGAAATATTAAAAAAAAGCTTACAAAAATAACAGAACACAACCATAAACAAGAATCTTTCTTCTGATTCACTATGTGATCTAAAATACTGTCTTATTGTAATATATATTTTTCGCACCTTAGTGCAAGTCTGTCAAATTCCAAATTCAGTTTCTAATGGAAGCTTTGATCCCACAAAGACAGAATACATATACCAGGAATACGATAACTTTATCTGTGATCCAGGCTTTATACTTGTGGGAGTAGATTCAGGGACTAAAACACATTTTTTAAACTAAACATTATATTCAATTTGTATTAAGGGTCGGCGCTTCCTATAGGAAACTTAGGCAGTCGCCTAGGGCGCACCAGCCCGGGGGGCGCCATATTTGAGTGACCAGGTAGTAGGGAAGCACACACACAAACACACACTGCTTCTCTTACACACACACAGAAACACAATGCATCTCTTACACACACTCAATGCACCCCTTACACACACTGCATTACATTACATACACAGAAACACACCTTGCATCCCTTACACATACAAACACAAAATCACACAGTGCATCCCTTACACACACCCAGAAACACAAAATCACACAGTGCATCTGTGACGAGACCAATCTCGCCACATTGCATTGGAGAAGCCTGGTTGCTCGCCTGCTGCCTTTGGACTATGGCCCCCTTTTAAAAGACTTTATTTTTGCCTGCAGAAAAGCTGTATTCGTGCTTTTCTGCCTGGGGTTCAGTAGATTTGTTTGAATGTGTTATACCCCAGATAGGAATCCCATGGAGCCCATTTGTATGAAACTGACTGTAAAGACTTTGGCTCCATGGTGATTAAACTGTATTCGTGTGGTCTGAGCGCCATTCACTTAATAATGTGCGCTCAGACCTGAGCTATCTGGGGATATGTGAAATGTCTGTGTTTTATGTATAAATATGACTTTATGTATTTTAAAGTGTTTTGTGTCTTTTTGCAACCATGTGCTTAATGGAGTCTTGTGTCTGTCCTGGGAGATAATTGAATTACTTATCTCCAGGATAGAAGACTCTGAAACTGGTTTGGGCCAGAAAGCCATGCTTCATTTAGTCACAAGGACTTTTTACTAACTTTTGAACCCCTTGTCTGATTTGTGCCATTTTTGAATATGTTGTTCCCCTGAATGGATTGATTGTGAATATGTAATTTTATGTGAATGTGATGTATGGTTTTAGAGTTATGAAAGTTGGGTAGAAAGTATGTTTTAACTGTATGTGTAATTGAGTTTCCTCTCAGGATAAGGGGAGGGAATATGTGGGATGTAACTGTTATGTGATTGGTTGTTTTATACCTCCCTGTGGGCGGTCCTGTAGTTGCAAGACTGTAATAAAAACCAGGCTGGGTGTGCCAGCACCTCAGACCACTGCTTGACCCTCAACACGGAGCCTTGTCTCGTTCTTGGGGGGATTCACTGTATGCTGTTAGAGACTGATTGCCAGGAGTGTAAGCTTATTGTCCGCTTTTCCTGTTCGTCTGCTAGCAGCTATTTGGGAGGTTCCAGTTCGGGAGTTGGAGTGCTTTTTTGTATCCAGTTCAAGAGTTTGGTGTTCTGCAGTAGCTGTTCCTGTATCTCTGGAAAGGGGGCTGATCGCCTAAACGTTTTTTTCCCCTTTTTTGCAAAACGGTCCGTTACAATTGGTGGCAAGCGGCGGGATCATTCCTACAGCCAGAAGGACAGCTACAGGAGACACCATTTCTTTGGATTTTACAATTTGAGGGCAACGCATGTCCCAGTACAGCGACCCTGACAGCACCAGCATGGAACCAGCAGTGGAGTATGACGGGGGTGCCATGGATGACCGAGATGCAGTCCGTAAAGGCATCTGGTACCAGGCACTGGGTATTGTGGAGTACCAGCGGGGCAAGAGACTCCCCAAGGAAGACCAGCGGTTGCAGAAGCGAGTATCCCTGCGGATGCCCTTCCTGGGAGAACAGCCCCTGGATGAATGGGTGAAGGAATTGGAGCACCGGGTATGGCAGGAGATTTGGCTGGAAGATGCCTACCAGGCACTCTGGTGGTATGGGGCACAGTACCTACCCTGGACAGCCGAGCATGACAAGCCAGAGGGAGAGGAGTTTGATGGTCATGGCTTGTTATGGGAGTCATTTTCAGAGCTCGAATTTGGGAGCCCTACACAAGCCCGGTTCAGTGATCTCTTGGAGTGGAGGGAGAGCAGGTATGACTGGGACGACACTCACGAAATTGAGCAAGACCTGGTCCACCTGGTAACCCGGGAGATGGAGCTAGAACAGGGCTACCAGCAGCTGTTCCAATACAGTGAGAAGGCGCAGCGGGAGAGCAGCATGACAGACCCAGAGCTAGACCCATTCAGAGGGGACGAGATGGTACAGTTTTACTGGGAAGAACCCCAGGTGGCCGGTAGAGATGGGACCAAGGTCTCTCCACCGGTCCTGCAGGGAATTGGGAGCCCAGTCTCCATTCCCCAGCGGCCGCGTGATTTATTGGGAATTGGGAGCCCAGTCTCCATTCCCCAGCGGCAGTGTAAAGTGCAGGGAGAGGAGAGCAGTATCCTCCCTCCCCAGCGGCGGGCTGAGTTACAGGGGGCAGAGGTAGTTGTTCCTGCCCCCCAGCAGCAGAGTGATATGCCGGGAAGGCAGTGTGAAGTGCAGGGAGAGGAGAGTAGTGTCCTCCCTCCCCAGCGGCAGGCTGAGTTACAGGGGGCAGAGGTAGTTGTTCCTGCCCCCCAGCAGCCAAGTGATATGCCGGGAAGGCAGTGTGAAGTCCAGGAAGAGGAGAGCAGTGTCCTCCCTCCCCAGCGGCAGCGTGATTTTTTGGGAATTGGGAGCCCAGTCTCCATTCCCCAGCGGCAGTATGATGCTTTGGGAATTGGGAGCCCAGTCTCCATTCCCCAGCGGCAGAGTGTCCTACCGGGAATAGAGAGCCCAGTCTCCTTTCCCCAGCAGCAGGACTCTGTATTGGGAGCAGAGACAGTCGGTCTCCCTCCCCCGCGGCTGGAAGTATGTATGGGAGAGGAGCTTGTTACCCCCTTTCCCCAGCGGCAGCTTAATGTACCAGGGGGAGACAGTAAGCCCCACAACTGTGCAGATGGGACGTAGTCTCTACACTGCCAGCACAGGGGGTAGGGACGGTCGGTTCTGCCCCCCAGCGACAGGGCTGTTTAGCCAAAGGGGAGACAGTCGGTCTCCCCCTCCAGCAGCAGAGATGGGTAACCAAAGGGGAGACAGTCAGTCTCCAGCAGCAGCAGCAGAGCGGTGTATTTAAAGGGGAGACAGTCGGTCTCCCCCTCCAGCAGCAGAGATGGGTAACCAAAGGGGAGACGGTCGGTCTCCAGCAGCAGGACTGTGCATCTAAAGGGGAGACAGTCAGTCTCCAGCAGCAGCAGCAGAGCGGTGTATTTAAAGGGGAGACAGTCGGTCTCCCCCTCCAACAGCCAGGCTTCCACCAGGCTACCCTCCCAGTAGCGCTGGCAACAGGGCAGAGTGCCGCTGGTCTCTGCCCACGCAGCAACCCACCAAGTCAGCGTACCCGTACCCAGCACAGCCGTGGTGAGGCACCTGGACATGGACAAGCTTCTCCTTTACCCAGGTGTAGTAACCATTTATTGTGGGTGGGCTGTGCTGTTGATTATTTGTTGTGGGTAGGCTGCTGGACTAACAAGGGCACTGACCGGCAGGAGGTCAGATACCCTGTTAGTCTGTTTGGAAAAGGGGAGAGATGTGACGAGACCAATCTCGCCACATTGCATTGGAGAAGCCTGGTTGCTCGCCTGCTGCCTTTGGACTATAGCCCCCTTTTAAAAGACTTTATTTTTGCCTGCAGAAAAGCTGTATTCGTGCTTTTCTGCCTGGGGTTCGGTAGATTTGTTTGAATGTGTTATACCCCAGATAGGAATCCCATGGAGCCCATTTGTATGAAACTGACTGTAAAGACTTTGGCTCCATGGCGATTAAACTGTATTTGTGTGGTCCGAGCACCATTCACTTAATAATGTGCGCTCAGACCTGAGCTATCTGGGGATATGTGAAATGTCTGTGTGTTATGTGTAAAATTATGTATTTTAAAGTGTTTTACTGTCTTTGTGTCTTTTTGCAACCATGTGCTTAATGGAGTCTTGTGTCTGTCCTGGGAGATAATTGAATTACTCTCCAGGATAGAAGACTCTGAAACTGGTTTGGGCCAGAAAGCCATGCTTCATTTAGTCACAAAGGACTTTTTACTAACTTTTGAACCCCTGGTCTGATTCAGTGCCATTTTTTAATATGTTGTTCCCCTGAATGGATTGATTGTGAATATGTAATTTTATGTGAATGTGATGTATGGTTTTAGAGTTATGAAAGTTGGGTAGAAAGTATGTTTTAACTGTATGTATAATTGAGTTTCCTCTCAGGATAAGGGGAGGGAATATGTGGGATGTAACTGTGATGTCATTGGTTGTTTTATACCTCCCTGTGGGCGGTCCTGTAGTTGCAAGACTGTAATAAAAACCAGGCTGGGTGTGCCAGCACCTCAGACCACTGCTTGACCCTCAACCCGGAGCCTTGTCTCGTTCTTGGGGGGATTCACTGTATGCTGTTAGAGACTGATTGCCAGGAGTGTAAGCTGTTCGTCTGCTTTTCCTGTTCGTCTGCTAGCAGCTATTTGGGAGGTTCCAGTTCGGGAGTTGGAGTGCTATGTTGTATCCAGTTCGTGAGTTTTGGTGATTCTACAGTAGCTGTGCCTGTCTCTAAAAAGGGGATTATCGTCTAAGCGGTTTTTTCCCCTTTTGTGCAAAACGGTCCGTTACAATAAGCATTAATTTTGGCATGTCCTGTTAGTACTAAACAAGGAGTATTACATAGTTATACTGGGTATTAAAGAAATTTATTTTTAAAACATTGTAAAATATATGGTGATGCTCTAGGTGAGTAAGAGAGGAAATAAAAGCATGGCAAATACATAAAATGTTCATTCTTAAGCTACGCAATGACTGTTGCCTTGAAGGGGTTAATCACAATTTATATTACATTTTTGTGAAAAGAAATGTGTACATTGTAACATACAGCCCTGCTCTCTGAAACTACATTACTCCAAAAATTCTAGGGAGCTGAAGTGTTGAAAGCAATTTAATGGAAATAAACATGTATT